CAGCAGTGTACTTCGTCGATCTGCCTGTTCTGCTCCCCGCTCTGTCTCTGGTGAATCCTCTCACCCTCCGCATCTCTGGCCTGTACCCCAGTTCTATGTGAATGAATAAATAAATCTTTAAAAATAATAATAATTTTCAAATGGGGTTTTAAATTTTTTTGTAATTTTCATAAAATCACTCAGTGTTTATTATATATTCACAGTGTTGTAAAACCATCACCACTATCTAATTGCAAAACATTATAATCACTAAAAAAAATAATTCCTATACTATTATCAGTCCCCATCCTGTCTTACCTAGCCCCTGTAATCACTAATCTATATACATTGTCTTTATAGATTTGTCTATTTGGACATTTCATATGAATGGTATTATATAAAATATATAGTATTTGACTCTCTTTTCTCTAAAATTGAAGTAACAATGGTTAATAACATAGGTTTTAGGTTGCATTATTATACATTAACTTCTATATAGCAGGGAGCATTATGTTCATTGTTAAAAGTCAGATTCCATAATCACCATAAAATCACTTTTACTTGGTTTACTCTTTCCCCTTCCCTTCTTATAATCAATCATTTGGCTTAATAGTCTGAAAGTTTATTATTGCTATTTAGTTCATTTCATTTGTTTTTATGTACCACATATATATGAAATCTTACAGTGTTTGTCTTTCTTTATCTGACTTATATTACTGATTATACTACTTTCTAGGCAAGTAACAAGATTTCATCTTCTTTTCATAGCTAAATAGTATTACATTGTTTATATGTACCATATCTTCTTCATCTAATATATACCAGAGATTGTTACTAAAATAATTTTTGAAATGTTTAATCATTGTCTATTGCCTATAATTATTTAGAATGTTTCTTAGCTTTCTTTATATCCCTATTAATTGTGTATAAACTGATTTACATATGGAAAGATTAGTACCTTTTCTTATTTATATAAAGTATATGTAAACAAAAATCTGTAACTATAAACTCTGGTATTTACCCATGTGTATTTCACATCTAATTCTAGGCACAATACCTGGACCTATTATATTTGGTATCACAATAGATAGCACATGTGTTCTCTGGGATATTAATGAATGTGGAAGTAAAGGAGCTTGCTGGATTTATGATAACATCAAGATGGCTTATATGCTTGTGACTATAAGTAAGTGGTAACTTCTTGATAACTGTAAGTAAACCAGTGATGTTAAAACCAAAAATGTCTTAGTTACTTAGTTAGGTTTTAAAATGTTGACACTATACTGTTCAACTATTTTGTGCTCCTGAAATAGACATCAATTTTTATAGATTGTTTTTGAAAGGATGGATGCCTGCAAGGCTCTCTCTAAAATAGAAGAGTAACACTTTAGCTTTCTTTACATTACAGATCATAAAGGTTTTTTTGTTTGTTTGTTTGTTTTAAGATTTATTTATTTATGCATACAGAACTGGGGTATAGGCCATCGGTGCAGGGGTGGTGAGAAGATTCACCAGAGACAGAGTGGGGAGCAGAACAGGCAGATCAAGGAAGTACACAGCTGAGGGGAGCAGAGGCTGAGTCAGGAGAGGTCTGCCACGCCATGCAGGTCACCTCCAGGGTGGAGAGCGAACTCATGCTGCAGTGGCTTTAGCTTCTTAGTGCTGTGCTTTAACCTAAACACTTTGCCACCAGGGAGGGCCACAGATCATAAAGTTTTTAATCATGAAAAGTTAGAAGAAGATTCTGAAAAAGTGTCATGTAGACACATAGGCTTTGGAAAACACTTAGAGCAGCTGTAGGGAAGTATCATTTGTTCTATCAGACATGTAAGAAAACTTGTTATTTTATATACCTGTATATAAAATAGTTGTATGAGTAAGATAACATTTTAAAGTGTCTATGAAGTTAATATTTAAAAATGCAAAATCTTGGCTAGAAATATATTTTATATATATAATTACATAATTGTGGTATTCATTGAGATTGCTTTTATGTGGCAGATATATCAAGATGAGCTACTCTTATATGCTCTTAAACCCAGAAAATACTATACTCTAGTTTTTGGTTTTTTAATACACATTTGTTTTTTGTTTTTTGTTTTTTTAAAGATTTATTTATTTATTCATACAGAACTGGGGTACAGGCCAGAGGCTCAGGGGCGGTGAGAGGCTTCACCAGAGACAGAGTGGGGAGCAGAACAGGCAGATCGACGAAGTACACTGCTGAGGGGAGCAGCGGGCGGGTCAGGAGAGGTCTGGCTCGCCATGTGGTCTCCTCCGGGGCAGGCGGCAGGCGGGAATCGAACTCATACGGAAGTGGCTTCAGATTCTCAGTGCTGTGCTTTAACCCGCTGCGCCACCAGGGAGGGCCAGCACATTTGTTTTTTAAGATTTATTTATTTATTCATACAGAACTGGGGTATAGGCCAGAGATGCGGAGGGTGATAGGATTCACCAGAGATAGAGCCGGCGGGCAGGAGAGGTCTGCCAAGCCATGTGGATCTCCTCCGGGGCAGGCGGGGATCAAACTCATGGGGAAGTGGATTAAGCTTCTTAGTGCAGTGCTTTAACCTGCTGCGCCACCAGGGAGGGCCTTAATACACATTTTTTAATAAAATAGTAATGATGAACACAAGTAAATATTAATATTTATATTTTTAGCCATGATTTAAAAATTTGGTTGAGTATGGAATGTGATATTCCTATAGAAACCTTCTCTAAAGAATTTAAGTCTTTTTATGTTCAGATTTTTTTTCTAATAAGAAAATTCTGCAACTTATACAGGTTCAAGGATGTTGTAAACTCTTCTGATGTAATTCATCTTTTGTTGCTTGCAATTTTTGTGTAGGCTGACATTGTATTTAATAAAGTTAGAAATGGAACACAGCACTTATTTTATAAGAATGCACAAACATAAGTATGAGTAAAATAATTGTACATTTTGATTATTTAGAAAGGAAATAAATGTTAATTCACTGGATTGTATACAAATATTTATTAAAGAATGAACTTATTTTCTTAAAATTTTAAAAATTTTCAGCACAGAACTGTATTGCTTTTAAGCTTTCTCTTTATAATAGGAGTTTCAACTCATGAAAGTTTATCATTGAGAATTAATTTTTTAATAATTAAAGGCCTAAATGAGTGATTAATTCTTGTCTTTATATTTGTTAGGTGTTATTTGTAAAATTATTACCATTTTCTTCAATGGGCTTGCAGTCTTTTTGTATAAACCACCACCATCGGGCACAGATGTGTCATTTCAAAATGAAGCTTCTGTTGTGATGACTGTTTCATTAGAATGTGATCTCAACAAAGGAAATGAAGGCTGAAATAAAAAAAGAGACTACTACAGCTGGAAAACTGAACCCTATATGTAAGAATTATGTTTGCCATTGCAGCATTATTTACTCACTGTGGACAACCATCTCTTAAACATTGATCTTTCATAATTAAATGTATTTTCTGTATATATATGGACTCATTTATTTTTGTTTTAATGTTAGACACAGAATTGTACCTTCAAAGCCTACCAAAAGCCTCATAGCACATCTCACTTTTATTGCCCTGAAGGTATGAAAACCCCCCACTAATTAACTGGGAGGGAGGGGGAAAGCCAACAGTTAAAAGTTTACACTTTCAAAACAAGGAGATTTTCCTCTTTGTGCAAATTGGTTTAATTGTTTTTGCCAATAGTTTGGCTTTATTTAAAATTTTTTATGGTGCAGAAATTTAAATTAATCAAATTTATGTATGTGCTCTAAGAATTATTATTGAAAGTCCATTCATTTAAAACTAGCTATAGGTAATATTATATTTTTAAATCTACACATTCTAGTCTGTCATCTATCACAGAAAATTATTGAACTATTAAAATATGGGCTAATTATCTTCTGTGTGTCCCAATGTATGGTGAGTATATAGACATGTATATATATGTGTGTGTGTTAGCATTGTATATACATAATTTCACTTTACCTCAAGAGAGGACATTTGTTGATTTTTAAAATTTCCCTTTTATGCTCCTGTGATAGTACTAGTTAGTTACATGTCTTCCCAAGGACAGTACCAACTCCAATAGAGAAATGTGCCTATTAGATATGAAAAGATTTTTTTATGATTATTGTTCAATGACTTTATATTCATTTAGGAACCTGATCACTTAGTGTATTCGTTTTTTGTTTTTTTTTTTTTTTTAAGATTTATTTATTTATTCATGTAGAACTAGGGTACAAGCCAGAGATGTGGAGGTTGAGAGGATTCACCAGAGACAAAGTGGGGAGCAGAACAGGCAGATGATCAAAGTACACTGCTGAGGGGAGCAGCAGGCGGGTCAGGAGGGGTCTGCTGCGCCATGTGGATCCCCTCCAGGGCAGGTGGGGATCGAACTCATGCAGAAGTGGCTTACGCTTCTTAGTGCTGTGCTTTAACCCCCTGCGCCACCAGGGAGGGCCTTAGTATAGTTTTAACACCTACAGTGTGCTTTATATATAGTAAGTGTGTACTATTATTTTTTTAAAAAGATTTTATTTATTTATTCATACAGAACTGGGGTATAGGCCAGAGGTGCAGGGCTGCAAGAGGATTCACCAGAGACAGAGTGGGGAGCAGAATAGGCAGATCAACAAAGTACACTGCTGAGAGGAGCAGTAGGCGAGGTAGGAGAGGTCCCCTAAGCCATGTGGATCACCTCCTGGGTGGGGGTGAACTCGCACTGAAGCTGCCACGCTTGGCTTAACTTCAGCAGTTCCAGCAGTTCAGCACTGCTACCAGCGAAGGCCCAGCATGTACTATTATTTGATGAAAAGATTAAATTCTCTTTAACCAATTCATTTGATAGATGAAATATTTCACATATGATAATATTACAACACTCCTATGTAGTAAAAGTTAAGCCAACTTTGTCTACTCAGACTATGGGGGAGTTAGATGAGTGAAAGTAAACAAAATTGACTTCTATTGGGCTCAAGAATTTTACTGATTAAAAGTAATGTTGAAAGTTCATACCTATTTGAAATGTACATAAACTAACATTACTCACTGAATAAGATTATTAGCTTTCCTAGGTTAACGTATTATTATTATATTAGTTTATTTTTACATATTTTTGTGCATTTTTTCCATCTCAGTTGCAATCCTTTTGGGTTTCCCATCACCAAATCACCCATGTGCCATCACCATAGTCCAGTGCATTTTCCTCCCCCCACTGTTTTTGATCCCATTCCCCACTAACTTTTTTTTTTAATAAAAAAATGCTCATCACTTATCATCAGGGAAACACAAAACCAAAGTGAGATTCCACCATATACCTGTGAGAATAAATCATGCCATACTTCTGTGTATTTTTTTTAAGTGACTGTTAAATGCTAAGTTAACTTGTTATATGTTGTTTATTAATATTGGTTTACATCATTTTTCCAAAAATGTGGCAGCAACCAAAGAAACAGTGCATTATGGGGAAGAACAAATATGGGGTACCTCAGTAGATGTAATATTCACCTTTTGAATGCTATTTCTGTTGGAGCCAAGGTGTAAAGGAAGCAGCGAATGAAATAGAAATTTTCTAGCTCTGAAGTAATGGCAAATTCTGAGGAACTTATCAGTAGAGGTGTAACACAATAAAAGCATGAGGAAACAACTATGAAAACATACTACTTCAATAAGACACTTAACTTAGAGGGAAGATAAAAAGCATACATAGAAATGGTTTGACATAACACACAAAATTGGCATTCCTAATTTTTGCTATTAGAAATATGAATATATTTTTGTACATAATTACATGATACTTTTTTTTTACAAAGTAATAAAAATGGATAGTGAATATACTTTGGACATGCAATTTAGATACTTATTTTGTTTTACAAATTATTCAATGAAAAATGGATAGAGTGAAAATTACTTTGGTGCTTGACATCAGTTTCTTACACTTTATAAAAAGTGCCCACTTGTATAATAGGACAGTATTGAAAATATTGTGATTTATAAACTTTTATGTTTTGATTGTCTAGATTATATGGATTGGTATTATGCTACTTTTATAATACAGTTTTCCAGATAATGTACTTTTCGGACTTCATAATGATTTTTATGTACACTTGAATTTGTAAATTAACCTACAGTATGGTTTTTGTATAAAATTGGATATATATCATAGAACTTTATTAGCACTTGAACTTTCGTTATAGAAAATACAAAGGTTAAATTCTTACATGTGGAAGGAACGTTATAGAAAACTCAGCTATGTAAATTAGAAGAAAGTATAAATAAAACATTCTATTTTCTTCTAAGATTTTATTTAATATAAACAATTATGCAAACATACATTTTTTTTAAAGGCTTATTTATTTGTGCATACAGGCCAGAGACTCAGGGGTGGCAAAAGACTTCACCAGAGACAGAGTGGGGAGTAGAACAGGCAGATCGACGAAGTACACTGCTGAGGGGAGCAGCGGGCAGGTCAGGAGAGGTCTGCCACACCATGTGGTCACCTACGGGGCAGGCAGGAATCGAACTCATGCAGAAGTGGTTTCAGCTTCTTAGCGCAGTGCTTTAATCCGCTGCGCCACCAGGGAAGGCCCATACATCTTTTTATCAAATCACAGTATACCAAAATTTTGTAAATGTCTAACCTTATTAAATGGCACAGATTTTGAAATATGATTTCTTTGTTTATGAATACACATACATTTCATGTCTGGAAAAGATAAAGCTTTCATTTTTTTTAAACATTTATTTATTCATACAGAACTGGGGTACAGGCCAGAGATGCAGAGGGTAAGAGGATTCGCCAGGAACAGAGTGGGTAGCAGAGCAGGCAAATCGACGAAGTACACTGCTGAGGGGAGCAGCGGGCGGTCAGGTGAGGTCTGCCACGCCATGTGGATCTCCTCCGTGGCAGGCGGGATCAAACTCATGGGGAAGTAGCTTAAGCTTCTTAGTGCTGTGCTTTAACCCGCTGCGCCACCAGGGAGGGCCTAAAGCTTGTCATTTTTAACCAGGTGCATATAATTTATTTATCACTGATTTCTGGCACCTCAATATAAACTGTATTAGCTATGAAATATTTCTCTGACAGAATAGCTTCCATGTATGAACAATGGTTATATATGTTCTTCACTTTACAGATAAGGAAACTAGTTGATGATTCCATGGTCTCCTCAGAATTACTCAATATCAGAGCACAAACTAGAACTCGGGAATTTATTTCTAAGTTAAAATAATGTTGATGAAATCTGAATTTAGCAGGGATATCTGAATTTCTCCAAAGACACAAATTCAGTTTTAAGATTTATTTTCTACCCTGCTTAGATTTTAACAAGAAATTATGGATCATGTAAAGAAACAAGACATTTTTATTTATAATCAGAAACAAATAAATGGAACTTGTGGTGTAGGAGGCCAGAGGCTAACATTAGGATGTAGACTTCAATACAGCAATTATAAGTATGTTCAAATAAGTGGGAAAAAACATGATTATAGAGTTAAATGAATATATGAGTACCAACCCATTGAAGAGAGAATATCAGTAAAGGAAAATGGAGAAGAACAAATGAAGTTTCAGAATGAAAAATATATCAGAAATGAGAAACTTATTAAGGCTACTCAGCATCAGATTATAAATGACAAAGGAAAGACTCAGTAGTTTGAGGATTTCAAAATAAATTATGCTGCAGTTGGAAAGTAGAAAGGATAAATAAAAAGAGCCCAACAGACTGAAGGACTCTGAAGCAAAATGATATGAAGAGTAACAGAAATCACTGCGAGTAGAGAGGAAAGTAAAGTGAGAAAGAACTAATGACTGAAGACCTTACAAATTTAAGTTTCAAACATGCCATTAAACTCTTAGTAGAATTGCACACAAGATTTACAACTAGATGCATGATGTTGAAAAAAGTTTTGAGAAAATGTGGAAACCCACTCATTATATACAGGAAGAAAACAGTATAAATCATAGATTACTTATCAGAAATAATCCACAGAATGGCTCCCTCAATGAAGAATGGAAAAAAAGAGAAGGATTATTCTACCATCAGTAAGGTTGTGATGTGAGAATATCATTAATGTCCACAAACATATCAGTGAAGTGGACTTAAAGAAGCATGTCCATGGGTTACTTCAGATGCACATATATTAGCACCATGGTCAAAAAAGCTCTCTGGGCCAATGAAAAAATGCCAGGTATTGTATCTGTCCAGAAATTATAAGGAGGGTAAAGTTACCAAATAAGCTATACATTGGTTACCTGAGTACTTAACACCATTTTCAAAAATCTCTAGTCAATATAAATGTGAACAAACAATTGATTGTTAAAGTTATAAAACCACACATACAAACAGAAGGTGACACAAAATACTGTCAGAAAAACTACTCAGTCTGTATTTAGCTAATATAGCTAAATAAGTGAAGGCTAAATACATTCCTTGAGACTTACATGTCATAATGCATTATTTTGTTAATGAAGAATTTTTTAAGTCCTATTTTGAAAGGTGTGGTATTGAACTATTTTAGGACTCAAGGAAATTTTTAATCATGTTTTACTGTTGACAAGTAAATGTTACT